ACTACATCATTCAGCAGGATCCTTGCATGGCAGACTAAAATAATGATACAAGGAGCACTAAAGAATCTTTTACAACTAAGTTTTGCCCCTCTTCAGTTGGTAGCTCCAGAACTCCATGCAGCATATGCATACTTTTCTTTAAAGTACATACTAGGGACATATCCATATCATTTCGTATCACTTGTGGCTTAGAGTTTGATGGAAGAGTTGTTTGACTCCTGATTTGCAGTTGAACTAGCAGACTTTATGCAAGCAGGGCATTCTGCTTTGCCCAGCTTAGTGCTCTGAAACCACCTTTTCAGGCAGACAAATACATGCTCCAGATTTTGACACCAAGCACTAACAGGTTTTTGTTCAGTCTATTAAAAATTCAATGTTCAGACGAGGATTTTTTTCCCCCCAAGACCTTTCATTGTTTATGCAAACACAGTATTTTTACAGTAAGGTTTCCTAGACTGTAGCATGGCTGAAAAGCAATACAGAAACAGCAGTGGAGGTAACTCACTGGAAAAGGAGCTTCTAAATCCAATAATCCTTCTGACAGCTTGCTGCCTTATGCCTTCTGCAAGTGGACAATTTCAAGGATAAACTCATTCCTTACACAGATTAAGAGTTGTTGCTATGGAAGTAAACAATACAAAGCTCTAAATTAACTGTACTTCATTAGCTGACTAAAGAAATCTTATGTTTTCCACAAAGAGAGAAAACCTCTCAGAAAGGACAAAGTTAAATTAAACTCAACTGTCCTGTATAAACCCAGACACAACCTGGCGAATCATCAAATACAGGATGCTACAAGTATCAGGCTTAATTTCATCCCTCTTAAAAAGCTAAAGAACATCTATAATTCATGTGGTGTTACTTAATTAATATTTTGCTTTCTTATCTTCTAATCACCGGAAAAAATGGTCATACTAGAAGGATCTCATCTTAACACCTGTTCAGAGGTCAAACTGCCACAGTCTGGAATGCTGCAAGGTTTTTCTCCCTAAGACTCACAAATTAAAAATAGATGATGTATAATCTTAATGGAATGCAACACATTTATAAGAAAATATATGAGGATTAAAATTGACAAAGGGAGGGCATTAAAGATTCTTAAAATACTGCTTGTTAAATTCAAACTACAAAGCAGAGCTACTGTTAGTTTGCCTGTTGTACAGGGATACAGTATTTCTGATAATTTTTATCAAACACTTCAATAACAGATCATTTTATAGAAATAATATAAAACAACGTAAATAGTGGCTTTAGAGAATGAAATAAAAAAGCCTGAATTAGTAACAAGTACTAGTTAGAATATCTGACTTATTATTACCAGTAAATAAAAAGCAACATTTTACTGCTGTAATGCAGCTGGAAAAAAAGGTCTTAATGGAGCACACAGATAACTTCAGTGTAGACTATTCAAATAGTCACACTGAAAAAAAAAGACTTTGATTTGGAAGATATGGATTTGGAGGTATGGAACTACTGCCATGATTTTTAAAAGCTACTTTTTATTTAACTACCATTTAAAAAAATCCAATAAAACCATAAAATTAGACTTTGCCAGACTTAGCACCAAATTGAATACAATTCCAAATTAAAATTTTACTAATGTTTTATCATTAATGTTGCTGCTCCTCAAAATAAAGCAGTAAGAAGTCCATATCCCCTGCTTAAGATGGCAAAGAAGCATCTAGCTGTAGCCTCAACAGATGAGGAGTTAAAGGGACAGAGCACAACACATGCATCCTATTTCAAATACTGCTACAAAAACCACAGCTCAGCTTTAACAGCCAATTGGACTGTATGTGAAATATGGATGATATGTACTTTTCTCCAAAAATTTTCTTACAGCTAGACACGAGCACTACTCTGCTCAGGAGTTACATATTGCCACTTCTGATCACACACAAAACCAGAAAATGGACCATGCTAAATTTACAATCACCAACTGTATTTTGTTGTGCTGTAACCAAAAGAAGTTTCAATAAGCCTCCATAGTAGTTAACATCATGTAGGATATTTTTCAAGTTCATGAAGCCCCTGTATATACTTAAGGTAGTACACACAACCTTCCATTTCTTCTTTCCTGCCTTAATGGTTTTTATACCCACATCACAGTGTTTTCCTATTTAAGCACCAATCAGATCCACGGGAAAAGGATTCAATGAAGCTGTAGGAGAGAAACCACTGGGATGTGTGCTTGAGGGTCTCCTCAAATAAATCAGTTTTCATGACACAAGAGGCAGACTGTGCAGTCTAGAGGGCTTGCTTTATAATCTGCAGAACACAATGGAGACAAGCTTCGAGGGATCTGGATGATACTTAAGATAGATCAGACTACTGAAATAAAGTATGGCAGAAACACAAGATTAATACCAGTGTCTAATTCTATGGATGACATACAGACTGGATAGAAACTCAGTTTAACAATTAAAAGAACATTTCTCTGTTTTATTTCTAACTTGAATGCACAGTCTAAAGTCAACAGAAAGGCCAAAGGGTTATAAATTTAATCTCATCTGCATAAATCATAAGATTATTGTTAACCACTCTAGTGATATATGAAAAATGTAATAAAAAACCTGTTTCTCATTGATTTTAATTAAGAAGAAATAAATAGCTGAAGTATATTTATTTCTGCCCCTCCCTTTGTCAGGATCTTCCACAGACAAAGAAATCAAGAAAAAAATGGGGTTTTTTAATAAAAAAAAATTAAGCACTAACATACAAATTAATAGAATGACAAGAGAACAACTTCAAATTACTTATACTTATTTTTAAAACAAGCAAGCTTTAATTTAACGTTATCTCATCAAACAAATCCATTTAATCAGACATTACTGTACAAAATCAAGATAATTATCTCCAAAACAGAAACAATTACATTAGAAAGGGAGGGACATAATCCATTTACATATTACTTAAATGAAACAGGTTTTTCTCTAGAAGTCTTTCAGTAAGTATGTCAGTACTTTGCCACACAGGGTCAAGGCCCGCCTGTGCTCATCATGCCAGAATGGTGAAGCCCAAGTTGTCCTTTTAAGCTGCCTGTAATTGGATGCCTACATGTGCTTTGTACTACCCAGCACCGGTACTTCCCTCACGCTTCCAGGCGAGGCGGCGCTGACACAGCTGCACTACAAACCCAACACCCCTCCTTCGGCCCGAAGAAGTCAACGTTCCCACATCCTAGGAATCCAACAACACGGGGGTTGGACTAGATGATCTCCAGAGGTCCCTTCCAACGCTAACAACTCTGTGCTTCTGTTATCATCCATGGCCGCTCCAGCTGCGCTATGCATGAAGGAAGCTCTCTTCCGCATCAGCTGTTCCTCCACCAGGAACGACTCGCCTAAGGCTGTCCCTCGCACATCTCCCGGACCATCCTCTCCCTTCTCCAGCTCTCCTCCCGGCTCCGAAGAGCCAGCTCCAGACATGGCCCGGTGTCATTGTCTCTCGCTCTCCGCCACCCCCTCTTCCTCACCCGTCCCTCCGCCCTCACCGCTGCCTGTCACCTGCTCCCTCCCCGCCGGCCGTCTGCTTCCAGGTCAGCTCAGCTCCGTGTCTGCCTATTCATCCTGCGAGCGGGGAGGAGGAGGAGGAGGGGAGGAGGAGGAGGCGAAGAGCCCGGCGGGCGCCGCAGCGCCCTCGCCGCTGCTGTCAGCACGGGGCCGCTCCCGGCGAGGGGCGATGCTCGCCCGCAGCCCCGGCGCCCACACCTCCGGGGGCTGTGCTGCACCACCCAAACCTGTACCACGGCTCAGCCCGCAACCGCACCGCCCCCGAGCCTTCCCTGACGGGCAGCCCCTTTGCCTCGCTCCCTCAGAAGCCCCACAGCCCCCCCGCAACACAACCACACATAGGGAAAGCGGGCCCCGAAGCGCACCCCGACCTCTGGCCGCCCCTTCCCCGCCCGCCCGAGCTGCGCCTCACCTAGTGCCACCTCGCAGGCTTTGCGCAGCTGGGAGTGATGCGCCTTCTTCACCTCCTTGTCGGCCAGGATCTTCTCCAGGGCCCGGGTTAGAAACATGTTTTTCGTCTTCTTCCCTTCATACATGGGCGCGATCGAGCCGTGAGAGGAGGAGGAGGAGGGTGGAGCGGGGAAGTGAGAGCGGGGCACCGGCCTCTCCCACCGGGAGCGCTGCCAGGGGCCGCGGCGGCCGCGGGGGAAGGGCTCCCTCGCAGGGCGTCCCGACACCCGCTCGGCGGCTCCCCCGGGGGAGGCTGGGGTGGGCCCGGGCGGCGCCGACAGCCAACCCCCGCGGCTGAGGGAAGACGAAGGCTTCTCCTCCCTTCTCCTCCCACCCCCGATGCGTGTGTGCGCGGACGGCGCCCGTCAGTCCCCGAGCCGCCCCCGGCCCGCGCCCGCCTCCATCAGCACCGGCGGCGGCGGCCACAGCAACAACCTGCCCTCGCCATGTTGGAAGGAAGCGACGTCAGGGCCGCAGCCGGAGCGGGAGGAAGCGGCGGCCGTGTCCCGGGAGGCAGGGCGGGCGGAGGGAAGCGGGAGGGCGGGGGGCAGTCGCCTTCTGCCCGCCCCGCGGCCGCGCTACAGGTGGAGCGGAGCCGCGGGAGGCAGGGAAAAGGGACCCACGGAGATGGCCGCTGCCACCTGGAAGCTGGATGAGGAGGAGGGGCAGGGCTTCCCTTCCGGGCCACCAGCGCTAGGAGGTGGAGGAGGAGACGGAGGAGGAGGAAGGCTCTCCCGGGATGCGCCACCTGCTCCTAAAGGGCGGGCTTCGCCGGGGTTTGGGGTCTCCCTGGGAGAGGAGCTGCCCTCCGTCCACTGCCGCTGCCTTCCCTGACGACAAACACCCGGGGCTCCGGCTCACGGGGAGCGAGCGGAGAGCAGCCCCCGGCACCCAGAGAGAAAAGACGGGAGAAGCGCTTTGGGGAGTGGGAGGTGTTGGGCTCCCCGGGGCAGTCCCTCAGCCCCTCCCGCTCCTGTAGCCCTGCCCGCACCTCCCTGGGGCGCGGAGCAGCGCTGCACCTGCCAGTTGCCGTGGTAGCCTTCCTCTCTCGCCTGCATCCTCTAACTAAAGCGCTGTCGTCCCGCGTTTCTTCCCACTGCACGTGCACTAGGAGTATAGAGCATTGAAAAAAAATAATAAAAAGCTCAGGTCGACCCTGCCTAACTGGTAAGTGGCAAAAACATAACAGGACCACTTTTTGCACTCAGAAGTACTAGTATACTAGTATTTAAAAATCGAATTTGGTGCTAACTGAAGGTAGGTCTGGTTTAGAAAATTTTTACCTGGTTAAAGAAAACAAAAAGACCCTTAGAAATTAACATGGAAATGAAAGAGCAGAAGTTCTAGATGCACCTTACAAGCAGAGTGGGACAAGGCTGTAGCATCAGTGTGCAGAAAGGAGGGATGGTTGTGGAAACCAAGGGGCATCTCTGACCTCTGAGAACAGAGCCAGCGCACCGTAAAGAGGTTATCCCCAGCAAGCCTTTCAGTCTGTTCTCCATTTCTGTGGTTCTGATGTGTTAGTCCGGAACACGACCTTTGGAAGTTAATCCCAACACTTTCCTCATGGAGCATTTAAGAGAGTTTGCTCAGACTGTCATGCCACTGTGCTAAGGCCTTGTAAGGAGTTTGAGCACCTGTTTCCTTATGTATGACGGGGCCATTGTAGCTGCCTTAGTAAAGGTACAGTGGTGTCTGTCAGCTCCCCAGTGCAGAGGCAGCTAATGCTGCCCAGAGTTGCTTAACCCAGTTTCCCAAATGAGAAATTATTTGTACCAAAGTGACTTGATGCCTTACAGGTATCTCTGTTTGACTTTTTAAGGAACACAGGGAATTCTGCTGAAGGTAGAGGTGAATGCAAGTCTTAACTGTTTGAGCAAAACACTTGTTCTGCTGAAATTACTGTATTTATTCCAGTGGCTTTTTCTGGTTACTGGCTATTTTACCACTCAACTGATAAACAATACAGAAAATATTAAGAGGGTGCATCTGATTTTAGCATCATGACGGCTTTGTGAGAGAGTTAGAAGTCATATCACCAAGCACATTGAGTCTTGAAAAAAAGACCATATTCAAATTGTGTTAATTTATTCAAAAGACTGTGTCTTCAGCAGCAAGATTTCCAAGCATACTTGAATTATTTCTAGTAATTTATTTAGGGAAAACCATTTGCCTGTTGGCTATTTTTTTTCTTAATGCATATGTGCAAGTTCAAAAATGCAGATCAAAATTAGTTTGGTCTTTCAAAGCTGCCTGCCGGTGACCAAATGGCAAAAATTAAGAATTTCCATGGAGTTCTTGCTGGGAGGTTTGCACAAATCATTTGAGTCCAGATCCCCTTAGCCAAGTTAGGCTTGCAAGTTATTTAGCAAATTGAGTTTGCTATTGATTTTCACAGTCCATCAAGCGGAAATAGACTTGCAATATGAAGGAAAAGGGTATCTGTATATAAAAAGCACTGAGCACTGCAGTTATCTGTTTTTGTTCATATTAATGTCTATTTTCATATTCTGTACACAAGATAATTTTACATGTAAAGTATGTTTTAGTTGAGCATATAGAATTACTGCTGAAGTGTCTGGAGAAAAAGACCTGTCAAAAAGAGACTCAATTCCATGTCTTTCATTCCTGCTCTAATATGAATGCTTGTTTTGGTTTGGGTATTTTTTAATGTGGTTTGAATCTTCAAATTCTGTTCTCAGTTTCAAACAACTGCTCTGTTGACTCAATTTGTAACTTGGCACAGCTGGTAATCTACATTCTAGTCACAAGAAAACACTACCTGCAACAGTGTAGAGCCTGCTTCTGAAGTTGCACAGGGAGATCTTAGTGTAAATCCCCTGTCCAGTAGGTTAACATTCAGTTTCCTTCCCAAAGCTGAGTCAATAAGGATGGAAATCCCAGGGGGAATATTATATATGTATGTATTGGAGATAAAAAGTCCCATGCACTCATTTAGGGAGAAGATATGAATGGTGATCACCTTGTGTGCTGGGTCCCAGTGCTTTGAATAAAGCTAGTTGTTATAACAGCTTCATTTAGTAGGTGAGCCAGCTACTGAATTAATGTTTTGTCAATTATAAAAAAAAGTTACGGAGTTTGAGGAAGCATTTTGAGGGAAGATTTTGTTACAGAGATTACAGAAATGTGTTTAACTCTTTGCTAATTACTTTAAAAGCTAGTGGTTTATCTCTAGTGAAAGAAGAATGAGAAAACTCATAAGAATGAAAAGGTGAAGATTTAAAGTTTTGTCTTACATGGATCCCTAACTAGAATAATTTAAGTTGGAAAAGACCTTTAAGATCGTTGAACCTAATTGTAAAGCCAGCACTGCTAAATCCACCACTAAATCGTGTCCTTAAGCGCCACATCTCCATGCCTTTTAAATGCCTTCAGGAATGGTGACTTAACAACTTCCCTGGGAGGCCTGTTCCAAAACTTGACAACATTTTGATGAAGAAATTTCTATTAATATCCAATCTAAACCTCCCTTGGTGCAACTTGGAGATGTTTCCTCCTGTTCTATCACTTGTTACTTGGAGACAAGGCTGACACCTGCCTGGCTACAACTTCCTTTCAGGTATTCGTAGAGAGTGATAAGGGCCTTGCTGAGCCTCCTGTTCTCCAGGCTGAACAATCCCAGCTCTTTCAGCTGCTCCTCATGAGACTTGTGCTCCAGACCCTTCACCAGCTCTCTTGCCCTTCTCTGGACATGCTCCAGCACCCCAATGCCTTTCTCTCTAGTGAGGGGCTCACTAGAGAAAACCCTGAACACAGGGTTTGAGGTGTGGCCTCCCCACTGCTGAGTACAGGGGGACAATCACTGCCTGGTCCTGCTGGCCACACTATGCCAATGACCTTCTTGGCCACCCAGGCAGATGCTGGCTCAAGTTCAGCTGCTGTAGACCAGCTCCTCCAGTTCCTTTTCCAATAGGCAACTTTCTGGCCATGCTTCCCCAAACCTGCAGCACTGCATGGGGTTGTTGTGACCCAAGGGCAGGACCTGGCAATTGGCCTTGTTGCCTTGTTAAACCTCATAAAGCTCACTTTGGCCCATCGATTCAGTCTGTCCAGAGCTGCAGAGCCTTCCTGCCCTCCAGGTGATCAACACTCCCACCCTACTCAGTGTCATCTGCAAAGTGACTGAGGGTACACTCAATCCCCTTGTCCAGATTGTTGATAAAGTTATTAAACAGGACTGGGGCCTCTACAGAGCCTCAAGCAACAGATTGTGCTGTACAACAGCAGTGCCTTGCAAAGAAATCCAAAATGCTTGTTGTGTGCAGATTCTAATGCCTGAATTGTTTTGGTTTCAGCATGCAGATCTTTGCTTTACTAGTAATTTGCTTTACTGGTAAATGTCTGACCAAAGAACTGTAGTCCTCATAGCTGTAGATTCCTATTTCATTGTTGAAGTCCTGAAGGTATGGAAAAGGACTGTTTATTGTTTTTTCTCCTCAAACAGCTAAGCCTGCTGGCAACATGATGTATGAAATATTATAGTTGTCCAATCAAACCTGAGAAATGTTTTCTGTCCAACCTAAAAGAAGCATGTTGTATATATGCCCTGAAGGACAAAACCATCACTGCTTTCTTGGATCCTTAACATTTAAACATAGAGCAACACAAGATAAAAAAGTGTATTTGAGAAACACTGCAAAAATGACTATCTAGTACATTTCTATTTACCAGTTAATTGGAATATTCCAGAAGCTATTTATATTGTTTCGTATATTTAAACTGTTTTGAATGAGCGTTAGATACTTGTTTAGTAAAAAACTGTAGAGAACATTCCATGTGAGAGGGAACAATTAGCACCTGCTTCTGCTGGCTTTATGTACCACAATTGTATGTAGTGCTTGTTTAAAAATGCTGATAAGCTAGGACTAGAAGCTTTGCTTAAAAGTCAGATGAACAGTAAAAGGGAATAGTAAAAGTGCAGTTTCATGCTTAGAAAAATCTAAAGATTTTCAGCTGTTCTGCCTCCCAAAGGGACCTCTCTCACCTGTCTGAGCTCCCATCCACTTTCTTCTGTTGGTCCAGCTATGTGACTGTGCCATCAGTTAGTTCACCTGTGGTTCAGCCAAAAATCAGTTTTACAAGAAAGTTAGTTTTCAGTGGGATCAGTGAATTGATCTGGCTTACTGGCATATTCAGTAAATCTTACACAAGAAAGGGAGTGGGGAATGTGGGTGATTAGGAGGACTGCTGCTCGTGGTGGCACTGTCTTCTTAAATCATCTTGATGAGCTTTGAAACAGCATGGTGATGATTAGACTGTGATCACTTTTAGCTAGAATAAGACAGATCTACTACTACAAGATGCAAGCCTTCCTGCTCCTACCTAAATGTTTCCTGCTTTCTTTGTCAGTGTAAGCATTTGCATTGCTGTGTGGTGAATTATGTGCTGAATTATATTCAGAATTTAATTAGATTGAAATTAACCTGACAAGGAATAGACTATTTTGAATCCAGATATATTTCATATCCCAATTTAACAGGCAACCTCACAGATGTTTGTGTTAGCTCAGGGGAATGGATAACAGAAGAACAGGAACACAAAAATAGGTAAGAAGAGGTCAGGCTTGTTTTTTTGGTTTTGTGGGGGATTTTTTTTTTGTTTGTTTAGGTTTTTTTGTGTGGCCTTTTTGTAGTTGTTTTTTGGTTTGTTTTTTGTTTTGTTTGTTTTGTTGGTTTTTTTTTTTTGTTTTGTTGTTTTGGGGTTTTTTTTAATGCAACAGTATTGGTGTATGCCAATTTAAAGTATGGTTTTAACTACTACTTTTAATATAAGTTTTCTTGATTGTTTCCGTGGTGCAAGAGAGCATTCAGCCCTGTCTCTGTATGTAGCCCCATATATAGAATGGGTGGTCCATAGATAGGACTAGTGCATTCCTACCACTGCATATGAACCTTTAATTGTGGTGGCTCACTTGTCACCTTCTTTAGCTCCAATACTTTGCATCTGTTCCCATCCTGTTTTCTTGTACCAGATGCAGATAATCAGTGCGTAATGGGTCAGAGTCCAGATGGATCTGACAGATGGGAACCTGGAACAGGAGAGAAGCTGTGATTATGTTCTCAACTGCAAGCACCTTGGTGGAAAAGTCTCCAAGATTCTTACTGAATGCGTAAGATTTAACAGGTCTGCTTGTAGTGCTTGATTGTGTAATACTGAGGTACAAACCAAACATTCCTCTAGGTCCCTTTATGCACTCATAGGGCTGCCACCCTTTTAAAATTAGGTGAAGCATAATCAAGAATGTTCAGTGTATCAGTTATGCAAAGGATCACAGTTTGTCAACCAAACTGGAAGAGATACACTCACCATAAATGTACTTCAATATTTTAAGAGTTTTTTTGTTGTTTCAGGCTTTCTTTGCATAAGTTCTGGAACTGAAGAGGTCAGTTTGTTCATAGAGTGAGTATTCTAACAGGTTGCAGTATATCCACTGTTGCACTGAATGAGAAAAAAAGCAAGTATTTGTTAGCAGAGGGAATATGCACCAGCAGGTAGTTTTTTTCCCAAACATTTGTACAAAAGCATATAACACCCTGGAGTGACCAGTAAGGAAATAAACATCCATCACTTTGAGGAGGCTCTTTCAAGGTGACAAATTCATACCTTAAAGCTAAAAAGTACAGACTCTTGCTGTATTGAAATACATTCCTGATACGCAGTTAAGTGAGGAAACATACCCCTAGCAAAGCATGCCATTTCTCAGTTTATGACATGTAGGAAAAAGCAGTGAAGAAAAAATCCCACCTCTTGTGGTTGATTGAATAAAGTTTTGAATTGTGGCTGAGAACTGTGAGAAGATATTAAAGGCCCCTGGCTGTAGCTTGAATTGATGTACTGGAAGTTATACCAGTGCTTATAGTGTATTTGATGGAATATGATTTCTTTTCCTTGTTCTTTTTCTGCAGGAGTACCTTTTCTTCTAGCCTACCTATAGGAGTTTTCAACTTGTTCTTCTGCATGTTGCTCCTGCTAATAGATGAATAATTCAGTACCCAGCTTTCATGGTAGCTCAGAGTACTGTTCCCTAATACTGTGAATGAAGGAATATAAGTATCCATCTTACAGACAGAAGGAAATGCATTTAAAAAGAAAGGTCATACAGGGTTTTAAAAAAGTTTCTTCAATAGTTTTTCTAACTTAAGGGCTTGATTATGTATGTACCAGCCCTAACTGTTTGAAAAGGTGATTTTCTGGGACTCTGTTTGAGAGGGCACTTTTTGGGGAGCATAGTAATGAATAGCACATACTCACCCTGAACTATGAAGCTACTATACAGTAATTGTTGTATGTGAAACTATGCAAATACAAAGGTAAATTCAAGCCAGTATAGTGACTCCTTCATGATGGCAAATATTTCTGTCTCTAGATGGCAAGAATATAAAGCTCTGGCAATTAACAGGTTCAGCAGACCTGTTAAATTTCCTGAGAGCCTTTGCACTGTAAAAGAAGACATTTGGAGAATGTATGGCAAATCTAGCAATAAGATCCCCTGATTTATTGGCTTCTCCCAGCCAACTCCAGAAGATAAAATTGCTAAGGAACTATTATTGGATTCTAAAGAGAAACTGTTGAAGAGGAGGAGGCCACAACATGATTGCCCTTTTTCCTGGGAGATGCTGTCACTACCATTATGGATTTCCTGGATTGCTCTGTGGGTGAGCCTGGTTAATTAGTTACCACCTCAAACCCTTAATAGGAAGGACTAGGATAGTATATAGCTTGTCCCACATTCTTAATCTTCAGGGTCAGTTGAAAAATTTGGAATAATCTGACAAATGACAAAAGTAACAAATTTACTGAAAATGACAACTGTTCCACATTTATATCCTAGCTTCAGTCTCCTGAAGGTCTTTGTGACTGATGTGACATGATCAGTGTAAAGCATGCTGAGTTTTCCTACAGATTAGTAATTAAATAGCCTAGATATAGGGTGCATGAAGCATTAGTCTGAATCTAATTTTTATATGCTGGATGCCTCTTTCCCCCTTGATCTGAGGTGAATTTTCACTGTAGCACTTTAGAACTTGAGTGTTTTCAAAGGTTTATGCAGATGTCTTTCATTGAGCTATTAATAAAGAGAAGTTGAAAATGGAAGTTGAAAAGAACAGTTGACAATGAAAATCAACTGAGAAAAGTTGAATGGAATTCAGCTGGAGAAAAAAAATCCCTTAAATCTGGGCAAGGTAAGTCAAATGAATAACAAGGGTGGTTTCCAAGTATTTTAATATCTGTGTTGAAACACTTAGGTCATAAAAGTTATGTGAATTAAGGTGCAAAACAATGAGACTGAAGCAATAACCACTTTTAAATGCCATGAAATGAGCTTTGAATCTGCCTGATTGTTTCCTCCAGCAACTGCAGTGGGTCATTTCCTGTCAAAAAATGCAGTAACTGATGTTTGAGCATGTACTCTATAAATTGTGGTCTTCATGACATGAATGAAAGATTTTTAATATGAATAACTTGAAAGATAAAATTGAATGGAAGTTATAGATACTTTTGCCTAACAGAAAGATATTAAAGAAGCACAGAAGCACTGCAGTGATTCATTCTAATATGCCAGTTAGCTAACTGTTTGCTAGGTGTGTACTCAAATATTTTTACAAGACATTTTGAAACACCTGCAAAAATTTTGATTAGGCTCCCATTATGTTTCTAGTTTCAAGTCAAATGTCACAGCTGATATGCAATCTGGATCATGAAAAACTGAAGTGGCTGCTTCACAGTATGTATGATACATGGTTTTTCATGACATTGAAAGCTGCTGCTGTCTGGGTTTTGATCCAGGCAGACCTGCAGTGTTAAGTTTTGATATTTGAAGGTTTATATTGTGTGCTGTTTCTTTGTTTTGTAATTCTAAGTATTTCCATACAGAAGTATGGGCAGTGGCTATCAGAGAATTTTGCTGAGCCGCCGGTACTGTTGAAATTCAATTTATAATTTTTGTGGCTAAGAAAGTCAAACAAACATTGTTGGGCTGGTACAAATCTCATTTCTCATGGTTTGTGAGACATGCAGCAGATAGTTCTACAGGGCCTCTGTAATAGATACATAACAATAAAAATCAATGCTAATGATAGTCCTTATGGTGTTTTATATTTATTTGCACCAAACTTACTTGGCTGGCTCTGGGACTAGATACATTTAGCAATAAAAGTTGCTTTATTTAATAGCAGGCTGTAGCATGGAGCTTAAATTTGTCTACTTGGTCTACGCAGGATGAGGGTCATGCCTCTGAATTACTGGAGGTGTCATCCTTAAAATCCTCCCTTGACAAGCCCCTTCTATTCAGTAGTTTCTCCTTCCTTAACTTTTTCTGGTTTAAACTTTTGTCAGCACATTGCTTCTCTTTTGCTCACCATTTTAGAAGAGAAATAATGTATTATTGTGCAGAAGTATATAATAACAAGGATATTAATGTACACAAATTGCATGAAAATAGATCTAAAGATGCAGTATGGTGCAGTTTTTCAAAATGAGGCAGTGAGCTCTCTCACATTCATGAGGTCAGTCCCAGTGTGGACACTTAGAAACCAGAACATTCAGCATAGGCACCTGGAATTTCTGGGTTTTTTTGTGCAGCAGTATGTATGGCACCTTCAGTATAGCTGCCTTGATCCTAAGGCATAATAGTTCATGGAGAAATATTTAAAGGAAGGTACACAATCATGCATTACTTTATAATAGCAATTTGAGGTATTCATGTCACATAATATGAGACCCCATATTATTTTCCCCGAGTTTGTGGAGGTTTAAGTTCCCATTTTCACTTTTTACTGTGGTGCTGTATCAAAGGTAGAAGATTAAAATGCAGACTTGCTTTAAATTCAAAGTGTACTGTATAAGAATGAGGTTGTGTCCTTTGAAATAGGTGTGAGCCCTCTATGGAAGCTGACTGTGCTCTGGTTTAACAATCCAAGAGATAACAGCAATGTTTTATTGGCAAGCTTTGCAAATTTGAGCACACTTGATAAATGTGGTCACTCTGAGAAATATGGTGTTAAACCAGTCTCATGCATTTGCAAGCATAAATTTTATTGCAATAAACATTAATTTAAAAAAATCACAATACAAAAATCTGTAGTCACTAGTTCTGTGCTTAAATTCTGACGTTGCTTTTACTACGCCATTTACTAGAAAGTATTTATTTCACACATGCAGTTCTGATAAATGTTTTACCATCAGCCTGTGACTGCATTTTATTTTACTTGCTCAGAAAAAACTCAGAGTGAGTTTTCTTTCTAATGAAAGTATTGACTTTTACAAGAAAAAGATTGGTTTTGCAGTGGGAAACTGGAAAGGTTATAGCTTGCTTTGAATATTTCTTTACTAGTCTCCATTACTGATAATTTGCATCAAACATGGAGTTCTCATGCATTCTTACAAAATTAAGATAACATTTTCACCTTAAACTCGATATCCTTTAAATATCAGAAACAAGAAAAAGAGATAATTAACAGAGGAGACTGACTGTTTACAGGGACATTTACTATGGATTCAGCAGGCAGCTGACAGCCAGGCAGCTGCTGGAGCTGCTGGGGTAAAATCCACCAGGTCTTAAGAACCCTGGAAATTGTAATTTTCATTGACAGATTTGTAACTGCCCTATGACAAAATCTGAATACTCTGCATTGCTTGATTATTCATGTACTGGTATGCTATGTGTCTTTGGTATTTTCTGTATTCTGTATAGTAGCATTTGTTTGACTTCTAAAAAATCTGTCCAGGAAAAAAAGAACAATTCACCAAGCAGCTAATGTATTAGATTAGTGTTAGATGGCTAATTGTTATTTATGGGGGCTCTTAAATTTTTGGCTCACTCTCCAGCACAATAAAAGGAAGAAATGAAATGTGAATGTAGAGTAACAAAAATAGCAGGTGGGATTAAAAGAGACATGAGAGACAGAAAAGGAGAAGCATTCATGGTCCACAGCACCTGAAAGATGCCAGGCTTTGCTTGTGGTGGTGAATAAATTAGACCTGCCTGAGTTAAAGTTGTGTGACAGAAATACATATTGACAGTTTGCTGATTATGTGGACCTTATTTTCTGTTAGACAAATATTTATAGCTAAAGTAAATAACATTTACTTTTAAGACTCATAGGCTGCCTCTTGCTGTGCAAAAAGTCTGACATCTAATGAGTAACTCAACAGTACCAATAGCACCAAGTGTAAGGTAGATGTGACCTGTCATCCACTACATCCTTTATTTTTCTCTACCAACTACAGAGGGAAGCAAGTCAATTTAGTTTAGATAAATAGCTTTGATACAGGAGTCAGATGAGTTAAATCCCACCTTCAGAGCAGAAAGACCATGAAATTTTTCTCCCAGACAGGTGAAAGTTGAGGCCTGCCACCCCAGAGAATGAATACAGAAAAACAGAAGGTGAATGGCAGCATGGTAAGCCTATAAGTCTAACACCTCTTTGCTCTTTAGTATCCTGCACTACCATGCCCCAGCAGAAGGTACAAGGGTGCTTGGTTATTTTAATCCGACACTTTAAGAATGGGTAGATTTATTAGGATATCTCAGAAATTTGAAGTAAAGCTTTTGGCTGCAGGATCACTGCCAGTTTTTGTCAATATGCTGAGCTATACTGACTGTGCTGTTAAAGGTTGGGATCTTTTTTATGGTAGTGTATGTTATTGTCAGGGAACACCTAATGTCAAGTACAGTGAGAGTTCATGAATTAAGTGTGTGAGCCTTGATATATTAAATTCTTTTGTATAACAAATTTTCAGAGTTTAAGGATTATTTCTTGATTGTTCCTTTTTAAAATAGGTATATATTAGGCAAATAGACTGACTCTGGCTGTGTTAAAATAATTTCCCACACTGAATGGCAAGTAAAATGATACATATCCAATAGTTTTCACATTTCTTGCAGCCTTGACTTCTGTGCCCCAGTGAATCTGAGCATGAAGTGTGATTTAAACAGATACACATTGTCAAGATTTAGGGAAGCCTAAGAAAAGCTTCCTTAGAAACATTCCTGTGTAAATCTCATCTCCTGGGTTGCAGTGCTGCTTTTTGCTTGGAATTTATTACATTTTTAGTTTCATACTGTATATTGGTTATGCTGCAACATCATCCTATTCAGCTATGGTATGAATCTGTTCTTGAAAAGCTGTGTACTTATGAAAGTGCATTGAAATTCAGGAGAATTGAGAATAATCATTGCTGCATGGCATTATGGGTGTTTAAAGAAAAGTGGAAGGAGAAATGTACTTCTGCTATGCAGTGGGATCAATATTTTGATGAATTCTGTGGCAAGCAAGACTTTCCATAGAGGAAGCTAATCTTAACCCTCTTTTAGTTTCTAGTGCCTTATAGGAGCTACATGTTCTATAATGCTTATGCGTGCTCTCTTGTGGAATAATGCAGACAACTTCTGCTACTTCTGTATGGAATCCACTGTTCTGCTTCTTCACACAGCAGCTACCAATCTGGCTTGGCTGTGTTAGGCTTTATTCACATGTACAGCTGGAGAGGTAAAGTGCAAACTTGCATGGAGAGGGAAGCACTGGTATTGCCAAGTAAGGTAGTAAGCTATACTAGATAGATACCTTTTGCATCTTTCTAATATCCACATACACCCAAAATTAATATGTCACAAGGTCACTGAATATTAATCAGCATTGTCCTCATGGGTGCACTCCAAAGGCAGGTAATTTTTTAGGTAAAAGAAGCTTGATTATGGGCTTCGACACCATCAGATGAACAGAGAAGTGATTCTCTTCATTTTAGTGTCCTTCTTATCTTCTGTGCTTGTTACTTTTAGAAATAATCCTGGCAGTATCTGTTTACTTTACTTATTCAGGATGAGGTTATTTTTATCCTCCTCACAGAGTGTCATTCAATCTAAAATGATTAATCTTTGCATGTTTGCCAAATATTTTTTAAGTTTTGTTCTTCCACCTGTTTGGTTGGTGACTGATAGCTGTTCACTCTCCCAA